TAATAATAATAATAATTGAAAACAAAATTGCAGTTACTTAATGAAAAGGCATCGCATGAGCGCGTGTAAATAAATATTCGAGGTGCGAAATTTGTAAATTAATTGATAATAAATGTCAACCGAATGGTAAATAAGTTGCAATAAACATTCAGACAGTAGAGCTGGCCAAGTTCAGCTGTAGCTATATGCTGTAGATCAAGTACTTATATACATATTAACCTTATCACTGTTGATAGTCGGCAGTGCGAAAGTGTGTCTGTTTGAGTGTGTGAGTCTGTGTATATATGCATATGTGTGCGTGTGAATTGACATTCGTAAAGTACAGCTAAACATGAAATTTCCGCATTATAGAAACATGTTGATTGCTGTCATCGAAAATATATAGTATATACATATGTATTTAAGTATTAATTAGTTGAAACGAAAAGAAAAGCCGTTTGTTTTTGATAATTTCGATATGGAAATCAAATGTCAATTGAATTAATTTTATTTAATAAAAATACAAAAAATAACAGAGAATATTTTTAATTGAGCATATCTCTATATCTTTCTCCTTCTTCCACTCTCTCTATCTCTCATACTTTCTCAGCCTATAGAGATATCTCTAGTCTCTCACTATCTTGCCCCATATCATAATTTGCGTTGCATGTGCTGCAAAATAAATGCCCCAGTCATGCTGCAACTGAGGCGCGACCCCTATACAAATGACCCTCGGCATGGGTATGGATCGACATGGGTATGGGGCAATTACCTCGTACTGCTCCAAAATTGCCAATAATGAGACATGCAGCTCGCGCGCTTAGCCTCTGTAATGGATTGCCGTGGATTGGTATCAATTGCAGGTCAATTCCTCAACGCCACGAAATTTCACGCGCCGACAAGATAATCGTCGCACATAATGCCGGGATTCCCTACTTCGCTCCAAGCATCGAGCATCGACAGGATCGTGCAACGCAGACAGCGTGTTGCCAGTTGCGAGTTGCCCCATTGCCAGTTGCCAGTTGCCAGTTGCCAGTTGCATGAACAAATTGCGGCTGTCTTGTGGGCCGTCGCTGCCGCTGCCTTTTGCCGAATGACAAATTAGATATCGAAAACAACAATTTGATCGACAGGCGATCGCCACCGAAACAAGCCGGAGGGAAAAAATAAAAGATTGCTCTGCGATTCGAGCCGTGAGTCCAAATTACCTCAGCACACAGCAACTAAGTCTGCTCTGGTCGGGTATGCTCGACCAGAAAGTACCTCACATCGAAAAATTATTGCTTTATATGATGAAAATCTTGAAATATATAAACGAAATATATATGAAATATATAAATTAAGAGGAAGATCCGCCTCATTTCTAGACTGGTCTTTCGTCTACCTGTTACATAATCTTGCCCAAACGCATTATATCCTTCGTAGCCAATTTCAAGTGATTCAGGGCATAATAAGAAAGGCATTTTCTGCGGTTTGGCCCAGCGTATCCAAAGGAGTTGATGAAGGTGTTGATTTGATTACTTTTATGTAAGCGACTCGGACAGAGCTGCAGTTGAACATATTTCCTCCAAATCGTGATCGCGGCAATTTTGGGATGGATCGATTCCGAGTTGCCTTCAATTGTGCCGACTGTCTGTGAGGGCGGCGGGCGGATGGCTGGGGCAGGGGGTAGATGGGGAGATTCTGTGCGCTTGCCCCGCGGCCAATATCTAAATGTGAAAAATGATTTGACTTTAATGGCCGCCACTGATCAGATGATCATCTCTGATCAGATGATCGTCTGTTGATGAGCACAGCGCAGCCTTGGACTCGCTGTAGGTGTTAAGATTTTGTGACCAATTGGCCAGATAATGCCCAGTGCCGCCACCTTCCGTCGCAAGCGGTGCCAGACCGTTAACGGTTGCAACTATTTTGCATGCCTGGCGATCATTTCTGCCCAGCTTGCCCCGCAACAGCCAGCGCCTGGCCAACTGAAATCTGGCTAGGCAAATGATTGATTCGTTCTGCGGAGCTGCGAAACGTGGGAATTCGGCTTGCTGAACCGAAGGTGTGTCCGCGCACTACATTTCGTACTGCAAATTATGATCTTTACGAGCTGCAAATGAGTTATGCAAAATTAGTTAAATTGCGAGCGCACAGAATGGCCTAGAGTGAACCACGCTCCCGCGCGATTTCAGAAATTACTCACTTTGTGGCGTTAACCGTCTGCAACTAATTTTGATTCGCATAAAACTAAAATATGTGAAATTTTGATATGGCTTCGATCGTACTAGCTAGTTTAAAAGGCAAATAATATTTAGAGATGGGAAGTAAATGCAGGAAAATAAACTAGATATTAAATTGAAAAATATAATTTGAATGGGATAAAGAAAAATATGGAGAAATAATTAAATGTGAGCAAATGTGGGATGAGGGAAATAAATTTATATATAAATCAATATTTTTTTGCTAAGCAAAGATGGACCTAGATTACTCGATTTTACTTAAAAATGAAGGAAAAGTATTATGATAAAAATAAATACAAATTATTGAAATCATTTCATGTTAAGCAAAGAACTTTATTTCTCGCATTGAATTAAAATTGAAGAACAACATGAATCTGCAGCTCTTCGTATCTGTTGCTAGATGGAAATTGCTTAAATTATAAATTATAATGGTAATATAAAAGCAAAGACTTAAGATCTTCGTCAATTCCCCTGAACACCTGAGATAGCCAAATAAAAACACACCTTGTCAAATCTTAAATATTCATATTAAACATAGTTTATTTTATAATTTTCCTCTATTTAGATAATTTATACTTTCTGTTGATTTTTCAAAATTCACACGAAATATTTATCAAATTAAAGGCACAAAAAAAAAGATATATGTTGAGGCTAAGCACAACTACTGTGTGTTACTTGCAACACCAAACAGCAGACAGCAAGAAACTGCATGCCACACTGGCATATACACACATTCATACACACAAACACACACACACACACAGAGTGTCTGGCAGCCAGACAGAGTGGCCCGCACAAAGCCGTCACAAAGACCCAAAGATATTAGTGGGCATTTTTCAATCCTTTGACGATGGTCAAAATAAAATATTATTTCGCGCGTTAATACGCAAAAATAAGCGGCTGGTTGGGTGGCTGCCACGGCTAGGCGGGTGGGCAAGCCATGAGCTGCAAAGAAACCTCCTCTCTCTCTCACCTCCTCTCCCTCTCTAGCTCTTTTGAGTGTTGCTTGGCTGAGAAGTTACGATGGGGCGCTCACAGTGTCGACTCTGGCAATTGCAACGTGAATTTGCGACTCGTTAAAAGCGCGTGGCAATGCATCGGGGCCAAGGATCGGGTTAGGCAGTGCGACCAGTACCGTATGCTAGTGTGCCAGTGCCTATGCCTGTGCCTGTGCCTGTGCCTGTGGCTGGGCCATCGCCATGGGTGGGCCTGGCCAAGACGCAAAACACTTTTGACAATTTGTACTTGTTGCAGCGGCTGTGACGCGTTATAAATTATTAAAATAGAAAATTGCATTCAATTTCGATTTTTCATTCTTCTTCTGTTCATGCGGTGTGAAATATGTGTAATTGGAAAACAAATTCCCCACTTGCTAATTTATGACTTATGAAAATTGCCAAGATATTTATTACGCACGAGACGGTGCTGTGGTCTGCTAATTAAATTATTAAATTGCGTCTGCTGCCCTAAGAGCAAACATCACGCTTACAGCCCTTCTGCTTCCCCCACCCCCTCGACT